TTAGCTCAAAGTTGGACTAGCAGTGGTAACAAAAAATTGGATGAAATAAAAAATAAAAAATTTAATTAGATGATGTTTTGATAAAATTTATTTTGTGTTGCAAAAGTTAATTTATAATATAATACTCACAATCTATTAAATAAAAAATAAAATTATTCAATTAGATGATGATTTGATAAAGTTTATTTTGTGCTGCAAAAGTTAATTTATAATGTAGTACTCACAATCTATTAAAATAAAAAATAAAATTATTCAATTAGATGATGTTTTGATAAAGTTTATTTTGTGTTGTAAAAGTTAATTTATAATATAATACTTACCATCTGGTTATTATAAAGGATAAAAAAATAAAAATATTTAATTAGATGATTTTTTATTTTGTCTTGTAAAAGATGAATTTATAATATAATACTTTACCAACTGGTTATTATAAAGAAATAAAAAATAAAAATATTTAATTAGATGATGATTTGATAAAGTTTATTTTGTGTTGCAAAAGTTAATTTATAATATAGTACTTACTTCCTATTAAATAAAAAATAAAATTATTTAATTAGATGATGTTTTGATAAAGTTTATTTTGTATTGTAAAAGTTAATTTATAATATAATACTTACCATCTATTAAATAAAAAATAAAAATATTCAATTAGATGATGTTTTGATAAAGTTTATTTTGTGTTGCAAAAGTTAATTTATAATATAATACTTACTCTCTGTTATTATAATGAAATAAAAAATAAAATTATTTAATTAGATGATTTTTTGATAAAGTTTATTTTGTGTTGCAAAAGTTAATTTATAATATAATACTTACCATCTATTAAATAAAAAATAAAATTATTCAATTAGATGATGATTTGATTTGATAAAGTTTATTTTGTGTTGTAAAAGTTAATTTATAATATAATACTTACTCCCTATGAAATAAAAAATAAATTTACTTAATTAGATGATGTTTTGATAAAGTTTATTTTGTTAATTTATAATATAATACTTACCATCTATTAAATAAAAAATAAAAATATTTAATTAGATGATAAAGTTTATTTTGTTAATTTATAATATAATACTTACTCCCTATGAAATAAAAAATAAAAATATTTAATTAGATGATGTTTTGATAAAATTTATTTTGTGTTGCAAAAGTTAATTTATAATATAATACTTACCATCTGGTTATTATAAAGGAATAAAAAATAAAATTATTTAATTAGATGATTTTTTGATAAAGTTTATTTTGTGTTATAAAAGTTAATTTATAATATAATACTTACCAACTGGTTGTTATAAAGAAATAAAAAATAAATTTACTTAATAATTAGATGATGATTTGATAAAGTTTATTTTGTGTTGCAAAAGTTAATTTATAATATAATACTTACAATCTATTAAATAAAAAAAATTATACAATTAGATGATGTTTTGATAAAGTTTATTTTGTGTTGCAAAAGTTAATTTATAATATAATACTCACAATCTATTAAAATAAAAAATAAAATTATTCAATTAGATGATGTTTTGATAAAGTTTATTTTGTGTTGTAAAAGTTAATTTATAATATAATACTTACCATCTGGTTATTATAAAGGATAAAAAAATAAAAATATTTAATTAGATGATTTTTTATTTTGTCTTGTAAAAGATGAATTTATAATATAATACTTTACCAACTGGTTATTATAAAGAAATAAAAAATAAAAATATTTAATTAGATGATGATTTGATAAAGTTTATTTTGTGTTG